AAGGATCGCCGGAGCCCAGCAGGTGGAGGCTGCGGTGACCAGGAGTGGCCACTGCACTCCAGTCTGGGCGACAGAGTGAGACTCCAACTCAAAAAAAAAAACAAAACAAAAAACGTTAAGGAGAGACAGAAACATTCCTAGCACTGAACCTTCCTGGCTCTCTCCAAGTCGGATGGCCAGCTGGGGGAAGAACAAGGAGGGAGACAGAAAATAATATCAGCCAAAATAACTTAGAGAAATCATTTCCAATTGTAATTTCATGACAAGTCATGTTGGTGGGGGGAGGAATTTCCCGATTATATCTCTTTTCTTCTCCTGGAAGAGAAAAAAGCATTACCCACAAAACAGTAGAACTAAGAATTTAAAAAACTTGACTATGAGGGTTGCCCACTCGTATGGATTTGTTCAAGCATTTATATTATACTTGCATCTGCTTTTTCCCTTGACCTCTTGTTCCTGTAATCACCAGGGTTATTTGTGTCGATGTTTCTTTCTTAGAATGTAACTCATAAGAGGTTAGAAGGCCTTGCTGTGTTAATTTGTTCACTGAACATGAACTAGAGCCTGAAAGGTGGGGAGCCAGGTGGCTCCAGGGATACAAGAAGAAAAGATACAAACCCCTTCCGGAAAGACGCTCAGGTCCAAATAAGGTGGAGGATGGGGAGAACCTACAGTCACCAAGTAGAGGATCAGGCTCTGCTGAAAGCAAGCCCAGCACACTCGGGAGCCTAAGTGAAGGGCGCAGCTAAGGTCTTCCCAGAGGGGTCAGGGGAGGCTGCTTGAAGCAAGAGATGCCTAAGTGAGAGGAGGACAAGCAGGAATTAGGAAAGGGGGCAGAGGTCAGCTCTGCACAGGGACCAGACCATGGGGGTCTGGGACCTGCCAGAATACAGCAGCGGTCCCCAGCCATGGCTGTGCTTTAGAATCATTGAGGAGCTTTGACAGACACCTACACTTATCCCCAACAATTAAGTCAGCATTGCAAGAGGCAATACCGGGGCATCCCCAGGCAGTTGCAAGGCACAGATGAGACCTACGGCAAATGGAGGTGGGTGTGAGAGAGAAGCACTAGAAAGGAGGGTGTGGCAAGTCTGTTTGCCCTGAGGACTCTGTAGTGTGCCCAGGACACAGGGCTTCCCATGTTTAGGGCAGAGGCGTTCTGGGCCAACCCTAAAGAACATAAGAGCCACTGTAGAGTTTTAAGCAGGGGGATGACATATAGCATCAGGTTGTGGCAAACTCAAAATAAAACCCTAGCCCCCACCAACTGAGCAGACCCCCAGGGCCAAGGGGACCCAGCAGCACTTTAAAAACTGACTTTCCAACCCTGACAGCACGGGAAGTCAGACACACCTCGTTATACTGCCTCCCTTCTGTGGTTTAGACTCAACTACTGACTGGCACTAATGTTAAAATAGAGACCCTAAGACTGACAGAGGAGACCTTTGTGGCTGTCAGATCCACATGACAATAAACAGGACCTAAGGCCGCACAGGCAAGGGTTTAGTCACGTACCTCTACCCAAAGAAGCATGTTCTGACTGCCACAGGCTTTTCCTTCTCTCCAACAGCAAAACAAGCACTGGCTTTAGATAAACATTATTAATGCAATTTGCAACTCCACCAGGTCATCAGCCGTCACTACAGCTTTGACTGGACAAGAGGCTGATTTTAGAGCTTTCTTCTGATAAGAGACCACTGGCCACGGACTGGCTCTGGCCAGTTCACAGAGGCTGCACAACTGCGTGCCTTCATGGCCTGACAAGACCTTTTGACAAGTAGGGCCTAACTGTAATACATTCTGATGTTACGTTTCCACCCCAAAGTGAACATGGGTCGCATGTTATATGCATGCTGGTTCAACACACATGTGGCAGGGACACATTCACGAATATTCAGCTAACCTGTTGAGTGTGTACATTTAGCCAGTCTGTTCCTGCTCTAGCCCCTCCTGGGAAGCCTGCATCCAAGCCCCATCAGAGTCCGTGCTTCTCCATTTGTGGGATGGCCACCTTCCAAGTTGTAACCTTGATCGGAAACACAGTTTCTTCTTCTTTCTAGATTTATAAATTGTGGTTTTTTGTTTTGTTTTAAGTCGACAACGTGATCACTGGCAGGGGATAGGGGAAAGAAACCAGGAAGACTGGGCTGTTGATGTTCCCTAGGCTTGAAGGAACAAGTTAATTCCTATAAAGAACCTGTGGGTTACCTGGAATCCCTATGTTACTGCATGGGGAAACCCATCATCCCTACTTTCAGCTCCTGGTCTGAGTTCCCCCTGCTGCACCAGAAACAGGAAGAGCTGAGGCCATGGCCATGTTGTGGGGCCGGCAGAGCCTTCCACACACCCACAGCTGTCCTGTCAAGTAGGCAGGTGATGATTTATCCTCATGTTGCAGACCAAGAACTTAGGCTCAGGGAGGCTGGGTCTCTTCTTCAAGGTAGTAGAGTAGATATCAAACCCCAGTTAATCTGATTCCACAACTATTACCAGGAGAATTAAGCAAGACAGGTGACAGGCTGTGAGGCCCTGACCATGAACCAGCTCCCTTGCCCTGGGAAGAATCCGCCAAACCTAAAACATCCACCAGAGACCCAAGCTCCTGAACCCCTCCCCTGCCTCAGAGTGAACCTGAAGCCTCTGATGATTCAGGGGTCATGTGGATCAAATGTGTTGAAACCTGCACTCCCTGGCCTCCTGCGCTAAGCTGGCAGGTATCAGGCCATTACATGAGTAGGTCTCATGTAATACTTTCAGTCTTCTGGATAAAAAAGAAGAGGAGGCTGGGCTCAGTGGCTCAGCCTGTAATCCCAGCACTTTGGGAGGCTGAGGCAAGTGGATTGCCTGAGCCCGCAGGTTCGAGACCCACCCAGGCAACTTGACAAGACCTCGTCTCTACAATAAATCAAAAATTAGCTGGGCATGGTAGCATGCACCTGTAGTTCTGGCTACTTGGAGGGTTAAGGCAAAAGGATTGCCGGAGCTCAGCAGGTTGATGCTGGGGTGGCTGTGAATGTGCCACTGCACTCCAACCTGGGTGACAGAGTGAGACTCCATCTCAAAAAAAAAAAACAAAAAAAAGAAGGAAGAGGGAACCATTAGCTTTCTAGCCCATGTGGGCAGAGGAGGAACACAGGTACATAAAAGATTCTAGAGAGTCCAGGCTCCAATGATACCATACTAAAGAAATTAATTTTAAAAGGAAATGGAATCGGTATTTCTTTAAGATGCCAGTAGGCACAGCCATACACCACAGTTAAGGGAAACAGAGATGCTCTTTAGTCAACAACTCTCTCACAGACAGGCGTTGCCCAGCCTGTTGGTAAGTCCTCAATAAATGTTTCTCACACCAAAGGTTCTCAATAAAGTTTTTTTCCAAACAGAAACAATTACGTTTTGCTATTTTATAAATAGCTTGTGCATAAGGGGAGGGATCTAATATGTAGACACTCACCACTGTCCCAGACCAAGGGCCTGGCCCCCAGTGTCTGTCAGTACTAACCCAACAACACTGCTATGGGACAGAGGCTTGATAGTCTGCTGCTTGGGCAGGGAGGCTTCAGGACTGAGCTGCTAGAGTATGTCAAAATATATACATTTGAGTTTGCTTTAGGGAGACCTGGACTTCTACAAGATGAGCAATAAAATAATCTCATCAGTTTGTCAGGCCTAGAACTCTGTACCTAGAATTTTATTATTGGCAAAAGTTTAGTGTTGGAAATCTGAAATTCAGTTTCTCAAATAAAGAAAAAATTATTTGGGGAGATGAAAGTTCTCCTTTGCACTTCATATTGTGACACACACATAGAATGTTCTACTCAGGTCACAACAGAACAGAAACTTAAAGGTCTTGTCCAAGCTGGGCTCAGTGGCTCAGCCTGTAATCCTGCACCTTTGGGAGGCTGAGGTGAGTGGATTGCCTGAGCCTGCAGGTTCGAGACCCGCCTGGACAGTGAGACCTCATCTCTACAATAAATCAAAAAATCAAAAAATCAGCTGGGCGTGGTAGCGCATGCCTGTAATTCCGGCTACTTGGAAGGCTGAGGCAGAAGGATCGCCGGAGCCCAGCAGGTCGAGGCTGCGGTGGCCGGGAGCGGCCACTGCACTCCAGTTTAGGCGACAGAGTGAGACTCCAATTCAAAAAAAAAAAAAGGTCTTGTCCGATGTCCTTGCTTTGCTAGTGAAGAAACTAGGGTCAGAGGAGCAAAGGGCCGTGCCCAAGGTCAGTGTAGGTCAAAGCAGAATTTGAAACCTGTGGGGTATGGACCCCCTTTATTACTCTGAGAATAAGCCACATTCCAGCCACAGGCTGGGCACAAAATTCCTGAACAAGAAGATGGCCTGCCCCTGCAGCACTGCCCAGGAGAAACTTCTGCAATGATGTCCACTATGATAAGCATGAACCACAAGTGGCTACTGAGCACTTGAGTCGTGGCCAATGCTTCAGAAACACTGGGTTTTAAATTTTAATTGGTTTAAATTTAAATAGCTACATGTAGTTGTGGTGACCA